ATAACATCCGTGATATTTTAAGCGTGTATCTTTTCTGGGAAGCTGTTGCTTATAATGTTTTATCATTTATTGCAGCGATCTGTATAATGAAAGATGAAAGCTTACCTGAAAACCTTCCTAATTAGATGGAATTTTCCCGTTTTGGTAGCCAGTTGGATTCTCTTTGATGCAGAGGTTCTAGGTTCAATTCCCAGGTGAGACATATTTAATGTGTTATCGCAGTTAATGCAAAATCAAAAGCTTTATTAATATACAACATTGCAAGATATTTACAGACTTGCAACTAAAACTTTGATTGATTAGGTAAGTAGGTATCTTAATATCAGTAAATTCTGACCTCAGGGTTGTAAAAGAAAATAGTAATTTGTAAGTTCAATGCAGTTCTTATGTTTTCCGATACATTATAAGCTTACTGAAACTTATAAACAGGATAAAGGCTCCCCTATAAAGTTTAGCCTGAGGTCTAAGCAAGTTAGGAAGTGGAAGGAAAAGCTCTGTTTATAGATTCATGTTGACGAGACACAACTTGTCTCACGTGTTAAGAATGTCGGAAACGTGACTTGAGACGTAGAACTACTCGGTGCAAACTTTAAAATGTACCCAACTGTAAGCTGTACCTAAGTGTATTGATGCAATATTTTGTACTATAAAGCTTTTTAAAATGACGCAAAGTAAGTTTAAGTTTTGATTTGCAGTATTGCATCTAAAACGATTGAAATATTGAGTTACTCAAACGCTCCTATGATTTTAAACTTTTTTTCTAAAAGTTGATTCAGTTGCATGTCGCTACCAACCGGGCAACATGGAAAGCTTTGGGGGAGGCTTATGTTCAGCAGTGGACGTCCTGTGGCTGAGATCATGACGATGATTCTGTTGCGTGTTGAAAAGAGCAGATTCAGGGCGTTATTAGAAGTAATTAATTACTATGGTCCTTACTCGTAATATACCAATTTGTTCCGATAGTTAATCCGAAGATTAATATAATTATGTTTATAAATAACTATGGTTATGATAACCCTTTAGGCAACAAGGATCAGGGTTACAACATTATTATTACAATAAGAATATCATGAAAGAAATAATAGTCTATTTTGGTTCACCAGTTGCTTGACCCTTCCACTAGAGGCCACTTCCATCGAAACTAATATTATAAAGTGGAAAGATTTGATTGTTTGTTTGTATTGAATAGGCTTCGAAACTACTGGACCGAATTGAAAAAAATCTTTCACCATTTAGAATTCTTAATTATTTCTGATGAACATAGGCGGTACGAAATTCGCCGGGGCAGCTATTTCCGTACAAACATGAGGCTATTGTTGAGACGACTAACATGGTAGTGAGCACAACTAGTAAATATTAATAAATAAATCAATACCTAAGCGCTCGTTCATCATATTAGCTTTAATGTGTTCGTGTAATATTCATGATTCGTACAAACAGTACTCAATTAAGTATTTTCTATTTCGGTATATATCCTGAAACTGTAATTGCCTTCTGAATGTCGAATTTGTTGGCAATAGAACACAAATTATATAAAACGCAGATATAATATTTTAGAAGAAAATATTTAGGTATAGATACACCTACTAGCTGGCTATTTCTGCGAGGGCAGAGGTTACAGGAAATGGTAGAAAAAATTTAAGTATCATGTATCATACTTTGAGGTTTCCAAAGTTTTGAATTCTTGATACCTAGCAACAAACAAGAGTCCCCAACTCCGCCAAGAAAAATGTACGAAATTTAACAACAGCTCAAAAGTTTACAAAAGTAAAATAGTATGAGTAAGTGCCTACTTTCAGTTGGGAATGAAATATTAGGACTTAAAAGAAGATTCTGTAAACAGATACCTTCCATTTGGTAAAGCGAGGATTTTGGTATGTTTCTCTGAAACTTGTAACTCAGATTCTGAGATATAAAAAAACATTACTTCCCAGTAATAAGAAACAGTAACATTTTATCACGTGTATGTTTATAATATCCGAGGTACCTATCAAAAAATGTAGCAGTCGTAGCAATGTATTATGTGATAGTAGTAGCACAGGTTACTAATAAGTTACTGTAGTAGTAGCAATGTTTTATACTACGAAACAATTTTCCTAATGACTAGGTAGTTATCTCGTAGCATTACGATACAAGTGAGCTAAACTTGCATTAGATATTCTGAGCCAGTGTTTATGAAAGGAGCTGTCATCCTCAATCCATTGTTTTGCCGCATATTTCGACCCTGCAGCCCTGGTGCCCCCTATTCCGAAACGCTGATTACGTAGTTTCGGGTCTATCTGTCACCATTCCTCATGCTGGAAACTCGGTTAGCCTGATAAGGATGCAACATTCGAAACTTCTGATAACGTTAGTCAGAGTAACCCCCCTGGAGTCTGGCTAACTGACCTATGCTACACAACTGTAGATTTCCGTTATTGTGGTCTAATACCTCCCAGTTAGTGTGTAGGAAATAATATGTTTACCTCCAGGTTGGCCCGGAGCGAGCCTTTGTTTGCTTTGGCTCAGACTTTGAATTTGAATTATTAGTATTGTATTGTGCAAATAGTTACTATTAGATATTGAGAGAAAGCACGGGTAATTCAATTTACGTGTCTGTCCATCCTAATTCACGTCTTTTACTTGAGATAGAGAATAAGTAAGTTAGTTGAAAAATACGCTCCATTATCTAAATTACACAAATGGTAATCACAGTAATTTCTTTTATTATCCCCTACTAAGTGAAAATATATTTTGGCTACTAGAATATGGCCTAACGTAACCCATTAAAATTCATTTTAAATCCAGATCCATGGTGTAGGTATTTGCTAGTCGTACCGACTTACAATTTGAAAATGTTCAATCTTAATAACTCAAGTATCCTGGTCCTTTACGTTTTGCAATTTTCTAATACATCCTTAGCAAAATAACTGATGTAAAACCAAGCAACAAGCTTAGGTAATACATTCACAGAATCCCATTTCACGATGAATAGGTAATACAGCCTATAAACTTCCACATCCAGGTCGCAATAAACAACTATACCCAGACATATATCAGCTTTTAAATATCTCCCTAGCTGTCCTTGAACGCGAAGGACTCGTAACATATTTAGTATATTATCTATATCTGCAGCTCCAGTGTTACTGCACTGGAGAAATACTCCGAAAATAATCCCCCGTGGAAATGTACCAAATAGCAAACGGTACAGGCGAGTGCCCTGTGGCAATCGGTTACTGTGCCATTATGGGAATGGACTGTCTAGGCATATTTTTGGGATGGATATTATGGTATGAACTGCATTACGACCATCAGGTCGTCAGTCGTGTTAGAGCATCAGCTCTAATCTAAAAGCTTGCCGAAGTAAATTACACGGTGTATAAAAAAGCATTAAATGGCGAGAAACACTAAAGAAAGTGGAAGAAAATTGTGTGGAGTTATTGTTTAAAAGCTAATTTATTACCTATAGGTAATATATTACAGGTATTTGTACTAGTACTTACTACAGTATTAAAGAGGTTTTGTTTCGTTATTACATTACCTACTACGATTGAATTGACGACTAACCGTAGTGCAATAAGGGATTATAATGACGTCACGACGGCTGCATCGAAATTTGATGTACTTGTGCAAGCGTGAGAAAGTGGGATAACCCTGCAATGCTATCTGCACCTGGACGCCTTTGCAAGGATCAATTCTACCCATATTATCGACGTGTCATGTGAACGGTATTCTAAAGATAATAACAGAGCATTCTGTTATTCTTTATAGGACTGACAGATGTCCTTTCCGCATTCTACTCAATATGACTAATAAATAGATTCACCTGATAATTGCATTCACACATGCAATTCAAAATAGGTAGCTTATTGATTTGTTATTGATTCTCTTTCAGATAACTACTTTTTCTGTACAACGTCTTTCAAACCAAAGGTACCAAGTCAACATATTTTTCTAAAGTAAAAAGAAATTAATACCTACACTCTTAACAAATTAAGAGCTTGATTATTTTAAACTGCGCACGTCCCGGTATAGCGCTGAAAAGATCTTTTGTTCGCTGCAAAACACTTGGGCAAGTCAATCGCCATCGCAGGGCCCGTTAGGCTTTGTGAACCGCAAATTAATGACTCACGAGCACCGCAATGCATGCAGGGTTAAGTTTCACCTCCTTGTTAAGACCCCATTTGATTTTTAGAACAAATTTCACCAAGGCAAGCACGGGCGGGTTAAAGAAAAACGTATTTCAAATGAGTTATAGAACGCGTATATTATGGGAAGCTATTTCTGTTTTTTTCGGAACGAAATAAAGCATTTTATTTGTGAAACCATATAAAATATGCAAAAAGGAAATCTCATAGGTGTAACATTCACGAGAATCTTGTTTACGAGCATGTAAGCTTTTCATTACAAAATAATAAATAATACATTAGGCACCTTCCTTAGATCATACAAAATACCTACATATTGGCAATTTCAGGATGTTGCTAGCTCGTTGATTTTGTGTTTTTAAAGATTCTTATTAGGATTCCTGTTTGAAAAGATTAGCGCCTAGTTTATTATAGGGATTAATGGTAACACGGATTATTCCTTCTTAGTTTATCCTATTGGTCCCTAATTTTTTTTTATTTTCATAGGTCCAAAGGCGATATCAGCAATATCAGGAAGCGAAATCTTTTTAGTAGCCATTTATCCTGGCAATAAAAGACAAAAGAGCACAAGACAGCATATCACAGCGGCGGAATTTTCATTCTACCGCCGTTTTTGTCGGTTTTTATCTAAATTCGTATTATATTATCCATGTCTTTTTGGTACATGGGAAGTACGACCCGGAGACAGTTATTGGCAAATATCCAGTTTGTCTCTTGAAGACCTGATATTGCACAAGTAACGGTAACTCCAACTGCCATCGTGTCTTCACGCGCAATAAGGATGACCATTTACATAACAATAAAGCCGACCCGTGAGAAATGCGACTTTGCAACCCTCTTATAAATTATAATGATTGTATTCAATAATTTCAGTTACTGCGCGAGGTCCCACCGGGTGAGATTTCTCCCCTTGCACAGGTAAATACAGATACGTAAGACGTTCGAGGGGTGGAAATAAAAGCAGTGGAAGAAAGGAGGCCATTGTGTGCGCTTACGCAAGTGACCCACGTGCGCCGGAGTTCCCACGGGCGCGCGGGGAGGGTTCCCGGGAGCCCTATATAAGGTCAACGGGACTCCGAAACGATCACTTCCGAATTTGACTAGCTACAGTAAACACCCCGGGGGGCAGCGCCCCCTGAGGGCTCTGAGTGCGAATTGCGTCTGCAAAATTTACCAGGCATTTACCAATAGTTTGTCAATTAAAAGTTCGAAGCCAAAGTGGTGGTAATTAATGTTTCATTACGGAAACAGTTTTTACATCGAAAATAAGTTTCAAAGGCGAAGCGAGGCGAGGATTCTCGTTTTTTTGTTTTGGTAAGTTACACACTTTTCTGTTATTTTATAGCCTTTTCAGTATTTTAAACTGTGTTTAACATTTTTTCAAGTACATACCTCAAAAATGTTTTTGGTTTTATTTGTTTCCTAAACTTAAACTGTGAAGGTTTATTTTCAAAATGTTTATTTCTTTCATAATATCTTACAGTATCTATCTAATAGGTATCCTTCACATTCTGTGAAATTTCTAAACATGTTATTAAAAATTTGCTCTGCTTGTTTCAGATTTGACCACAAAAATGTATTACCAGCTGGGTATAACAAACGAACTATGACATCGTGAACAAACAAAAATACTGAATCAAAATTTCATCTGGCCGAATTTTTCGGGGTCTTCTTGTAAATAATGGAATCACCGGAGGACTTGGAGAAGACATCATGACTAAGGTGAAGTGAAAGAGTCTCTAGATTCCCAAAGATAGGATAGGCTTAGGTTTATTGTGTGTAGGTAGGCTAGGTTTGTAGTTTAAGCTGTGAGTGCCAAATTATTCCGTACAATTTTTACCTTCGTGAGTACTTACCAATGATTTTTATCAATGTTTAAGAATCTTTCGATAGTGCCTTAATGATCGGTGTTGTTAGTTAAACTGTCCAGTTACCATTCATGTTTTTGTTTGTAATGTTACGTTTTCTCGAGTTCTTGTTAACGTTTTTGTTAAAAATCCGAATTTGACAGTTGATAAAACTCACAATTAGTTTTAAATTCACCAGTTTATCGCGGGTTTTCACAATTCCAAAGTTTGCTGTTGTTACATGTTTCTGTTGTATGGTTGTTAAGTTTTTGTTATTAACACACTTAAAAGCTCCAAATTGTTTTCTTGATCATTTGTTACATTTCGTTATTGATCAGGGATGTAAATTGTTGTTTGGTTAACTGTAAATATGTTGATATTTTGTTTGTAAATACCAATTTGTTGTTACCAGCTGGACTGGGCATTGGGAGGATTGTGACTGACGTTAAATTGTTGAGTTTGAGTTTTTGTTTTGTTGCTTTCTGATCACATCTAAACCCACATTGGATTATTCAAAATCATCACAATCCATCAGTTATAGATTCATAGATAAAACAGTTAAAATTAATCAAATTAAAATTTTGCTCAATTACTTTAATGATTTTAAGTTTAAAAAACATTATTTGTATCATCCTACTTTTCTGAATCTAAAAAACCTACCTACCATTCTGATAATCATGTTGTTAAAGTTATGTTTGTGTCATTTGCCTGAATAAATCGTTGATTTTGTAATAATTACTAAACATATTTCTTCGTGAATGTTTCTAACAACGAATTAAAATAGAATACCTTGCTTTACTTAATTACATCTTCGTTCATGTTTTTGTTTTCGTTTGTAAATGTTACTCGTTGAATTTTTGTTTTGTTTTCTCATTCCGTCAACCAGTTAGTAAAACAAACAAAAAAAAAAATACACAAAAAATCGTTGGCTGTATACGTTCATACAGATTGAGTTTTTGTTTTGTTGCTTTTCTACTTGTAGAATTATCAGTATCAGTTATATTAGAAACTAAAGCACGTACAGAATTGTTAATTTTATTTGTTGATTTTTTTGTTTCGATTTAGTTGATTTTTTGTTTTGTTACTTTTCCAACCCATAACCCGGTTATCTTTTTGGGTCTAAATTGTTTTTTAATCCCCGCCTTTATTAGATCAAAAAACTTGCATCAGTACACTTTTGTCCTGCTATCACAGCTTGTTGATTTCACTGTTAAAGTTAGTTGAGTTTTTGTTTCGTTGCTATTTTGTTTTACATTGTCAAACTGAATTGTTAAGTTGATTCTGAATTTGAGCCTACTTTATCAGTAAACCTACGTTTAGTAAAGATGGTTTCACAGATTTGATTCAAATCAAAATGCGTGTTAAGTTTTTGTTCTCGTTTTGCCTGAAACAATCACAACGTGCCTTACGCCAAAAGTGCCTGAAATTGTTTCATTTTTTATTATCTCTTTTGTGTTTCTGTTATTGCTTTCTGTTGGGGTTTTGACTTTTGTGAAAACCTTATCAGGACGCTTTGTTCCTTTTTACGTGTAGTATAACTAAATCGGCTTCTGATATTTCTGTCAAAACCAACAAACGATTGTTGATACGTTTTAGAACAAAATAATTTTCCGACAATACATATTTGTAACAATTTATTGCGAGTTATCTACACGTGAAATTGTTGTCTGTTATTTTAACTTGGTGTTTATCTTATCCCCTACATTATTTGTTCAAAAATTTTGTCAGCATTTTCATGATCAAAGGCTTTCAGGATCAGGGCACATCAGATACAAAATATCATTTAAATTGTAATTGACTGAGTTTCTTCCTCCTCTTCTCCAGTGAAATGTAGATATTTTTATTTTGCACGTGTAAAGGGCTTAACATTGGTACTAATTTACATAATTTGATTTTGAATTAGAGTCATTACGCAACGTTTAATTATAAGTCACAACTACACTTGAGTGATATTTACAGTCAATACCATACTTTTATTTATTATTGTTTATAACTTCAACTTATTTTAATTTACATAAGTTAGTTCTTTTTTATGGTCTTGCATCACGCTACAATTTTCATTATGGGGGTAAGATATTCATTACGACATATTGTTGACTTTTGTTCAAGTTTTTTGTTATTTTGTTATTTATCTTTAAGCGTTAAGTTGTCGTTAAGCTTTGTGATATTACTGTTAAATTAAAATGGCTGTGTTTGTTAGTTTTATGTTAAGTTTTCGTTTTAACTGTTTGTTGTTTGTTTTCCGACATTAAGGCCGCCTAAACCAAATAAAAACTTGTACTATATTAATTAGATTAAGTTTTGCTTTTGTAATAATTAATAATGGATAAGTTAAAACTGAAGCTTTGTGTAAAATTAACAAATAGTGTAAGGTAATTTATTAGAGATGTATGACAGTAATGTGTGTTTGTGTGGAATAATAAAAGAAAAACACGAAGTTATTTGGTTTTATTTTGTATATTTTTAGAAACCTTACCTCAGTAGTAAACTCTTTATTAGGTTTCGTTATTGCTTTCTGGTAAAAACATAATAGGTATTTTTAACCATTCAAGATAATTATGTTATGATAATTTTATGAAAGGTTGTGTTCAGTACAACCTTAATGTACAATGTTTACCTATTTTCGATGTAACACAGTCCTCCTTACTATTATACTTATCATACTTAAGTACTTATAGTTACGTATCTAGTACTTAGTAGGACATTTTTTTATTTGACAAAAACCTCCATTGAAAATGTCCAACACCAATCGAATACAAAAGGGTAGGATCTCATCTCTCGGTCCCATCACAGGCCCGAATGGTGTGGAACGATCTTGACTCGAGAAGCAATATGCTAACACTGCCACAACATAAAATGAAATGTAAGGAAACTATCCCACCCTAGTAGCTTTGATTTGATTAAACGATCCTATAGTTGTACACGTTTCTTTTGTTACATATTCGAAGACATTTTCATCCTATATTATCTGGAAATTCGGAAAATACTTATGTATGTCAAAAGAAACTACTCATTAGACTAAAGTAGTAAAATCGCTTATCGTCCGTATGTAATTTACAAAGCAAACCAAATGAAAGCGTCTAAGTGTCGAGTACCTATGTAGAAGCTCAGTCTACTACCACAGAATACATTATGTACCTACTACTCAATCGCGTTAAATAAATGTTAAACTACCTACATAAGTAGAACATCTGTAAAAGGATTTGTGGCGACGCCTGGTGGTAAGTAATTGAAACACTTTTTCTATACAAAACCAAACGACAAACGATATCAAGTCAATCTCATACGAAACCCTCGCGTAAGGTAGGTCCCCAATGTTGGGTTAGAGTAAATTTATCACGGTATCACAATAGATAGGTACTACAAAGTCTATTATCATAGAGAAATTCTGTTATAAAATTATTTAACGTGCTTAAACTTTGTTTTCATGAACTTTGCAAAGTTAATAAAAGCAGTATTGATAACCTATACAGTACACTTTCTTAGAATCAAAGTAAGAAACTCGTGCATAACGGTAATTTAATCCTACATAAAACCTACCTACTTCATTAACTTGCTGTTCATGAAATAGGTAAGTAAGTAAGTAAGCATTTTTCACTAAACTTTAGCGATATTTTAAAAGACCATGTTTAAGTATTCGTTGGATGGCGAATAAGAACAGAAACATAGCAACGTCAAAAACTAATTTCATGTCCAATTAAAACATTTTAAAAGGTTGGCGTTTTGTCCAACTCATAAAGCATTGTTGTGAATAAAGACCACGTTTTAAAGCCACTAATCTAGTCGGATATTGTTGGAGCTTATCCAACTGTTCACTATCGCAATACATACGTTCCGCGCATCCATGGGCGCAAAACATTGTACCGTGGTTACATAATACATATACATCGCATAACAGATGTAATGAAGATAGTTTTCGGTGGAGAAACAAGAACTTCGCCCCATGCAATCTCGCCGCTTAGCCTCTTCTTAATTGCTTAACTTTAACCGGAGCGTCTTCCTGCTGTCGCTGGCTTCGTTTAACTTCACGCATACTTCACGGTTCACACGAAATAAGATACTTTGAGCGCCTACGCGGAACTGCGATGCAAAGTTAAAAATCGCGCCGCTTATTGAAAGTACATAAGAGGAGTTTAACGCCTGTGGAAATGTAATAGCAATAGCACCGTTCGTAGAGTTGTATAAGTCCTATTTTATTAGGAGATGTTTTTGGTCAGTGTGTATTGCTCTGCACTTCAACTACTAGCAGTAGCAGTTGATTTTTGTACAATTCATTCTACAAAAATCGTTATACCAACCTATTAATTATCTTGAGGCCTTTAATTAACACGCCATTCTTCGTTTGTAATCGTTTTGTAAGCAGGTGTGCCCACCTAATTATTTCTTGCAGTAATTAAGTACTTACTGTCTGCTGTGATGGGCAATTAAGAGTACCTACCTAGCCACTTATTTATCTGTCCTATAAAACAAGCGGACAATAACACATAAACTTAACCAACGCGACCGTGGCGTATTATCTCGTTAAGTTATAGAATTGCAGGTAATGTAGTGGTTCTTAACCGGTGGTCCGTGGACCATTGGTGGTCCCTGAAAGCATTCCAAGTGGTCCACGAAGTGCACTTGCATAACTTGGTCATACCACTTTTAACTGATTTTTGCAGTCAAACTAACTGATTTTTGGTTTTGACCGATCATGAGGTGGTCCCTGATAAGACAGAAATTTGGTAAAATGGTCCCTCATGACTGAAAGGTTAAGAACCACTGCCCTAGTAGGTAGGTGTACTTAGTCTGATGTGCTAACAACTGAAAGATAGGTAGGTGCAGTCAGAGTAGGTACATCAAACTACAACTCTTTACAAATTAAGATACCTAAGTACCTACTACACAATGTTTAAGTTTACGTACGATAAATAGTTAATAACTTTGTAATAGCTAGGGTAAGTAATAAAGCAGATAGTGATTATTTGCTTTGTAAACTTTATTGTAACACGAACAAGAGAGATTCAAATAATATTCCCTGAAACTTGAAACATTCTCTATAAATCAGTTTGATGTTGGCTTAGAATCTTATCTTTTGTAGTCACAACTTTTATTGCTATAAAATATCAGGCGAACTTACACAAATAGTCTCAAAGAGAGCTGTATCGAAAATATGGAACGTTGGCGACTGTGGAACTTCAGAAGAAAACTTTGCTATCAAACTTATTTAGGTCGATATTTTAAAATTCAGTTACTAACAATACAAAGGTACACTCAAAAGTACAACAGACTACATTTTCTTTTCAAAATAGCACTTATTGTACATATAAATAAGATTCTAAAGTGCTTACCTTAAGATGCCCATCTGCAATGCCTACGTTGTTGCACCGATTGCGATCTTTGCTAATGAAAGTAAATAGGCGCCGTTGCAGTGTCCACTTCGCGTATTTTCGCTTGCTATTTTATTATTCAGTGACGTGCATCTGTGAACGTTTCAGGCTGAAACTTTTCTAGACAGGGGGAGATTTGGGCGTTATTTCTTTGTTGGCTCAGTGAAGCGAAGGCGCTGTGTGCCCGCGGACCGTCCACGGGAATTCGATATTGCCTCAAGTGAGGCGTTCTGGCTGCATTGTGCACTTTTATTCGCCATTGTAAGTCTGAGAGATGCCACTCCGCTTTGCTCCGATGATTGTGGTATCGTATTCTTTTTTAGAAAACACTTAAAGCTAGATGAGATGGAGTGTAGTTCTTTTTGTGTTGGTTTTCATTACGAATGAAGTGTAGGTATGTAGTCTGCTGTTATTTTGTTGCACTGATCTAGCTCGCTATCAATAAATGGACGTAGATTTTGTGTGGATATGAGGTTTAGAATCACACAGTGTTTGTATGTAGGTATGTATACCTACTTCTTCTTAAAGCTAGTTAGCTACCATTCTACATACAGTAGGTACCTACTGATGCCAATAAATAAATATAAATTGGGTGTAAATGAATAATTAATTACTTTATTAGGTACCTACCTAGGCTATTCTCTGAAATAAGATAGGTATATAAGTAGGTGAGTACTTTATTTAACTTTATCATGATTTTTGCGGCTAGATAAAATATGATAAAATGATGTCTGCTCATTAAACCTACTCATATCCATTATCTTGCACTTTTTGTCAAGTACCTAATGGTCCAAAGATTTATGATGAACTCAGTCAACGTATAGTTGACCTGGAAACAGCAGGCATAGGCAATAGTCACCTGTATGTATGATAAGAATTTACATTAAATTATCTTGGTCCAAAGTGTCCAAACCTGAGAAAAAGGCAAGTATAAAAAAAATAGAATTTGTCAACTCTGTCAGCAAATGTCAGTGTTGATATCATTTTTTTGTAAACCGAAGTAAATTACGCTAAATTCTCAGTAAAATTAACCAGTCAGCATGAATCGTATGGACGACGACGTGGTACTGTCCCCATCTTACTTTTGGGACTGCGTGACATTCAGCAAGGACTGCCCTTTTCTGTCCAATATAGACCCGAAGTTGTACTACTTTGGCATAGGCCTCCTCATCCTCTACGGGACGTTCCTACTCGTGATTCTTGCTGACTTGAAGTTCTACTGGTCTCTGGACAACTTCCAGCGCCAGATCGATTACTACATAAATCTAGTGAGGAAGAAAGTACGGCACGTGCAAATGGACCAGCGAAGGTTGGTCAGCACTCAGGAGAGAACCGAGAAATTGTTGAAAAGAAGTGAGCAATGCAAGCGCATGGTGACTGCTCTTAGAGGCGCGTTACACGAAGACGATTCCCGATATCTGTCGATACTCACGAGCACTGACGACCCGAATATATCGGGCACAGGGGAGTTATGGAGTGAGGATCGCAGTGTCATCGATTTTTAGGAGCTTACATGTTAGAAAAACATAACTAGTTATTGATAAACATTTGGACAACAATGTGTATTCTTTTCTCACGGTTTGTATTTCCTCGTTCTTAGTGGGAGCGTGACGCGCCGTTGTTTGCTGAAGCGACGGAATACCTTATACTTTATCCTTTGCAGTCGGCTGAACGTAAAATACAGTTCAAAAGAGAATTACTATTATCCCTGTGAAAGCTTAAACTGCTACTGTTCATGCTATCGTAAACTTATATTATTTTAGTTCAGCTGTGCCTGCTTACAAGGAATTTAATAAAATTTCTAGTGGAAGATATGTAGTTTAATACAAGTTAGGTAGATAGCTTAATATGAATTCAAATTGAGGTTGAGGTGACTTATCTTTTTAACTTTAAAATAACAATAACGATAATATTTCGCTATAAAGAACAAACCAGGTTAAGGGTTTTAAATGTAGGTATATTATGCTTTTGCTAAGCTGAATGGTTTAGTCTAAAGTAAAGAATTAAACTATCAATCGTTTTGATATTTATTTATGATAATAACTATTATATAATATAAAAATAACTACATTCAACTTGTTACAATAAAAAACTAAACAAATGTTACTTTACAATAATTAAATTAACACAATGTGTTATACATAATGTCACCTGATTGTTAGGTAATACGATAAACGAAGTTCTGGACGTTAAAGTAAACCAGTCAAAAATGTTAAAAGGCGAATTGATAAATAATCTGATATTCCTTATCTTACACATAGATTAAACGAACTTACATTTAACGAACGCATTTCATACTCAAAATCCTACTTAGATATGAAATAATTTATTAATGCTTAAAGGTACAAAAAACGAAGGACGTCCACCCACAAGTGACCCGACGACGTCATAAAGTTAGCAGGAAGGCGCTGGATGCAGGTCATTATGGAAATCATTGGGGGAGGCCTAAGTTCAGCAGTGGACGTCCTATGGCTGAAATGACGATGATGAAAGGTAATAATTTCATTGTTGATTATGCACTAGTTTTTCCGAGATCTCCCACAATTTCCGAGCTGTTTCGGAGTTTCCAGCTAATTCTGTCGTAGGCTTTTCGCGGCAGTCGACGAAGTATTTCCCGCTAACATTCTGCACTTCGGGCGACACGGCCAAATAGGTGGTGGTCTGCGCCCCTTGCCACGGCGTTTTGTAGAATGGTCTGAACAGAATAAAAGCATACTTTGCTAGTGGAACATTCAGCGCAATGTCTGTATAAATTACGCCGGGGTGCAAGCTGTTCACAGTCACGCCGGTGCCTTTGAGACGCTCTGCTAACTCAACTGTCATTAAAACGTTGCACAGCTTCGTTGCACCGTAAACTTTGTATGGGCTATACTTCCCATGATCGAAGTTCAGATTGTCTAAATCCAAATCAGCAAAGGAATAAGCCATCGACGACACGTTTACGATGCGGCTGGGTGCGCTGGACTTGAGTAGAGGTAGCAGGAGTGAAGTCAGCAGGAATGGCCCGAAATGGTTCGTTTGCATGTCCAGCAGCAACCCGTCCTCCGTGGTCGAGTGTCCGCTTCCAAACATTCCAGCGTTGTTGATAAGAATGTCCAGGCGCTTCTCATTCTTCAGTATATCTTCAGCAAACGCTTTTACCGATTTAAATGAAGCCAAGTCCAATGGCTTGAAGTAGACCTCCTTATTTTCAGTATCTTTGATGATTTTATCCCTAGCTGTCGTTCCTCTGTCCGCATTTCTGCAGGCCAAAATCACTTTAGCACCTCGCTCGGCTAAATCCTTCGCAGCTTCGAATCCTATGCCGTTATTTCCGCCGGTAACTATGACCACTTTCCCCACTAGATGTCTACTACATTTATTAATTCCCCAAGTTAGCCTGCAATATATCACAAACAAAAAATATATGCAAGCATTAACTAAGAACAAAGCTAACAAAAACATCGTCGCTTGAGATATCTCGTACAACTGAACTGACTCGGTCACTGAGTTGACTTTATTTATTGAGTCACCAGTTACGCCACGTTTTAGTTACTTGCCGGTTCCTCTATGAGTTATCTGATGATGACGTTGCGATTAAAGAACCAGTTTTCAACGTCAAAGTTTGGGTTGTGGTTTGGGGATACTACACACCATGTTTTGTCAATTCATAAAACTCACAATTCCACGCGTCCGTTCGATATTAGCGTGGTAGATACTACCAGAGCTAGGCAACTTCACGTACATTGATATAGAACAGTGAGTCACAGATAATGGCCAAGTGACTTCGTGTGCGTGCGCGTTTGTTTGTATTTACTTACTGGGCTCACAGCCCAACACGCCGTTAGTTTTAATAAGGTTTCCGACCTTGACAATTGTTTATGAGTTCCTAGTATGTTATTAAATTAACTTGTGATAACTGCCCCACCAGAAAAAATGTTTGGTTTAACTTTGTCGCAGTTGGATATCTAAAAAAATCCAAATTTTATCTAACTTTATCACCATATTCTAGACGTCTGAATATTTAAAGTGGCGTATTATGATAAATTATACTTCGTCGCTGCATCCTCGAGATTTTCATATTTACNGAAAATCTCTTCGGATGCAGCGACTCGTATAATTACGGTCAAACTTCACTTAAGGTAAGTTTGTTTAACCATAAATTAAACCACATTAATATAATGTTACCTCTTCTCATAATGACCACTCATATCCATTATCTTGCGCCGAAGCACTTTTTGTCGAGTAATGGTACAAAGGTTACTGATCATTTTATTATGAGTTGGCTCTTACGTACGAGTAAGTATTTGACCATGGAAAAAGCAGATTTCGGCATTAAAATACGCTAATTCACCAGTAACATCTAAAATTACCAGTCACCATGGATAGTTAAGAGACCGACATAGCTCACAGAATTGCTATAATCAAGTGGTAGTGACGGGGCGGGGCACATAGCTCGTAGAGACGATGGCCGTTGGGGCAGAAAAGTTCTCGAGTGGCGACCACGGGCCGGAAGACGTAGTGTGGGCAGGTCTCCCACTAGCTGGACCGATGATCTGGTGAAGGTCGCGGGAAGAGCCTGGATGCGGGCAGCGCAGGACCGGTCGTTATAGGAAATCCTTGGGTAAGGCCTTTGTCTAGCAGTAGACGTAATTTGGCTGAAACAAACGAACGAACGATGGATAGTTTAACGATTACGTGGTGTTGCCTCCTATAGGTAACTTCTGGGACTGTGTGACTTTTAGCATGTAGTAAAAACATTTAAAATGTGGACACGAAACTATGTATAGTTTTACATAATAATCTAGCTGGTAAAAAGTCGTGTGTGAAGAACCAAGAAAGATGAAAGAAGATTGACAATGACACAACAATCTGAATTAGACCTATAAATAAATAAAATAATACCAATAAGCCATTAAATTCGCAAGATTAGATTCACAATAGAATTTTGTATTATATACCATTTATTTATAACATAATAAGTGTTTGATTATTACTTACTTACATTTATGTAAAACTACTTGTATATTTACGAATTATTACTGTAACTTGCAATTTCACATGCACTTGTCTTAGGTACCTACCCTGTAAAGAAGTGTAGAACTTTTTCATTTTTAACTGCATTTCCGATCGTGGGAGTGCCTCGTCCAGGTAGAGCTCGATCTGACCGCAGGGTTAGTGAATATGCACTAGTTTTTCCGAGATCTGCCACAATTTCCGGGCTGTTTCAGAATTTCGAGCTGCTTCTGTTGTAGACTTTTCCCGGCAATCAACGAAATATTTCCCGCTGACATTCTGCACTTCGGGTGACACGGCCAAATAGATGGTAGTCTGTGCGCCTTGCCACGGCGTTTTAAAGAATGGCCTTATCAGAGGCAAAATTAATTTTAGATACTTTGCTAGTGGATATGCCAGCGTAATGTCAGTGTCAACTGCTCCAGGGTGTAAGCAGTTCGCGGTAACGTCGGTGCCTTTAAGACGCTCTGCTAACTGAACTGTCGTTAAAATGGTGCACATTTTTGATACACTGTAAGCTTGAAATGGGCTATACTTCCCGTTATCCAAGTTAAGATTGTCTAAGTCTAATTTGGCAAAGGAATAAGCCATCGACGACACGTTGACGATGCGGCTGGGTGTGCTGGACTTGAGTAGAGGCAGCAGGAGTGAAGTCAGCAGGAATGGCCCGAAATGGTTCGTTTGCATGTCCAGCAGTAACCCGTCCTCCGTGGTCGAGTGTCCGCTTCCAAACATTCCAGCGTTATTGATAAGAATGTCCAGCCGCTTCTCATTCTTCAGTATATCTTCAGCAAATGCTTTTACCGATTTAAATGAAGCCAAGTCCAATGGCTTAAAGTAGACTTCCTTATTTTCAGTCTCTTTGATAATTTTATCCCTAGCTGTCGTTCCTCTGTCCGCATTTCTGCAGCCCAAGATAACTTTAGCACCTCGCTCGGCTAAATCCTTCGCAGCTTCGTATCCTATGCCTTTATTGCCTCCGGTTACTAGGACAACTTTTCCCACTAGATGTCTGCTACATTTATTAATTCCACAAAGTTTGCAAAAGAACACGATCAAAAAATATAATATGCAAGCATTAACTATGAATAAAGCTAACAAAAACATCGTCACTTGAGATATCTCTTAAACTGAATTGATTCGGCCAATAAGCCTTCATTTATTGCAGCATGTAGATAGATACGTCATATAATTAGACAGGTTCCTCTTCGACCAGTTTTTAATGTCAAAGCTTAAAGTAGAAGAGCCGACTTCAAAATTTCTTACCGATTAGATACCGCGATGAAATGCACAATCGCCATCATTATCATTTCAGCCACAGGACATCCACTGCTGAACATAGGTTGGTAGCGGCCTGCATCTAGCGCCCTCCTGCTGCCCTATCGGCCGTCAGTTCTGCGTACTATGCACAATGGTTTCTATAAAATTGATGCTAAGTTCGGATTTGATACCTAGACTGCCACGGCGGAATTTGTCGAAAGTAAAAAAAAAACCGATGCAAGAAAGGGGTGTTACTTATCCCCACTTATACCAGACCAAATTGTGGCATGGCCAGGTTAGTTAGAAATTCTGACAGTATTTTTTGCGGATAAGGATTGATTACAGAATACCGGCATAAATTAAATGGTGTTCCAAACTTCATGATGCATCCACGTTCTTACCTATGTTGGGAGCATAAAATATGCTGACAAACTCAGTTTTTATACAATAACGTAGGTCTGGCGTTCACTAGCTCCCAGTCCATATGCTAAACAAGGTTAATCCTGACTCACCTTGGTCATTTTATTTGAAATTCTCGTTTTTTTCATACTCATTTTAGCACCACTAATTAACGCTAGATGTTTGAACACGTTTGGACGTCAGTTTGTACGTGGTACAAAGGTTACTGACTGATATTATTTTACTTTACGATCTTGTGGTGACGGCAAAGAAGACGAAAAACATTTGTCACCAACCCATACTCTTCTTGCGGGTGTCGTAAGAGGCGACCTAGAGACTACACACACATTAAACAGAGAACAGGTACCTAGTAGTGCCCTCTGATAAACATTAATTTTAAACTGCGATCTCCAACCCGCCTGTCAAGCGTGATTCTGTGTTACGGAACATACACAAGGAAGATTGATAAAATCTATAGATAAAATAATTTAGCTTGAGAAATTAATAATAATTAAAACGACTACAAAACAGCATATATAGTAGGTATGTTGTATTAGAAACATACATGACAAATTAATAGTAATGTAGCCCACAACACAACGCTATCTTCGGATTACAAAAATAAATGAATAAATTACTGCTTAGGTAACAGTGCCGATGGTAAAAACATACAGAAACTTAG